ATATTGTATGGCACAAATGGGATATATAGAAACTTCCACCGAACAAATCTACAAATGTTAGACCATTCGGTAGTTTCTTAAGTTCTCTCAATATAATATCTTTACATTTACTCTTATTTCCAAAAAATGGTAACGGAGGTTTTGTAAAATTCATTTATATATAATAATAAAAATGTTTTTACCCGAAAAGTGACAGAAAAGTGACAAAACATGAAAACATATATATTTTGTGAAAGGTGACACATTATATAATGTTTTCGACCCAGAAGAAGGCTTCTTCCCAGAAGCAATGGAGGAGGAAGAAGAGGAGGAGGAAATACAAGACTCTATCCAAGAAGAGTCCTCCGAATTCACACCAGAAGACTAACAATTTTCCGAATAAAAACTTCATTTATACTAAACATCTTCGGGGCTAGAGGGCGCAACGCGGCTGGAAGCCCCACTACCTTTTTTTTTAAATAAAGTATTTTCTTTACACACACATTGTATATCATAGTTTTTTTTTGGTTTCGCAAAACATCCAAAAACAAATATGCTATAAAAGTGACAATTTTAGCAAAACGAAACCCTGACATATTCATAATGTTTCACCCTTTCAAAAATATAATCCTCCTCCTCTCAAATAAACGTACATACGGGTGGCCTCTTTTTTCAAAAAATTAAAATTTGAAATTTTGGGCTCAAATATTAGAGATTTTTTCAACCTTCAACAATATATGTTGTCTATATCAGACCTCCTTTCTTTTTGATACTTAACATTGTTCCTAAATCTTAGCCGTTAAGGCTGTTCTGAAAATATTTTTTTTTCGAAAAAATTCGAAAAAAATTCTTAAAATTCAAAAATCCCTTAATTCCTGAGGATTTTGGAAAAAAGTTTTACATGAACATGTGTATATTATATGAAGTATATTGATAAGGTAAAAATCAAATTTTATTGCATATTCATCGAGAAAATAAACTAACGAATCCCTCAAAATTGAGAGGGTAATCCTCCTCCTCTTAAATAAACGTACATACGGGTGCACCCTTAAAGACACTATGATGACACCAGGCAAATCTTCCAAGACACCTATCGTCGGGAATCTAACAACCCTACTATTGTTTCTAAAAAGTTTTCTCATCACAATGGTGATTGTGCTTATATCGCGTAATTTTTTCCCCTTTAGCAGAAATTCAATTTGAAACCAGATTCAGTATATTACACTTTCACAAATGACATACAATGCCTACGCCGATAATTAATCCGCAATTTATTTGGAAATCCATTGAGGAAATTCTTTGTGCAAGTTCATTTGTTAAAACATGAATTATGGTTTGAATTAGATAATTTATATTTAATGTATAATATATTTGAATACCGATACAAATTTGGCTATATTTTAATTTTTTTCGATTTTAAATTTTTATATTTGATATATTCTTAATTACCATTATACTACAATTAGTAGAACAATTAATATTTTCATGTTTAAAACACTTTCAAAAAAATGCAAATATTTTCTTTTTAGAAGGAAAATTTGTTTAAAGTTTGTTTAAGGGTGCACCCGTATGTACGTTTATTTAAGAGGAGGAGGATTACCCTCTCAATTTTGAGGGATTCGTTAGTTTATTTTCTCGATGAATATGCAATAAAATTTGATTTTTACCTTATCAATATACTTCATATAATATACACATGTTCATGTAAAAACTTTTTTCCAAAATCCTCAGGAATTAAGGGATTTTTGAATTTTAAGAATTTTTTTCGAATTTTTTCGAAAAAAAAATATTTTCAGAACAGCCTTAACGGCTAAGATTTAGGAACAATGTTAAGTATCAAAAAGAAAGGAGGTCTGATATAGACAACATATATTGTTGAAGGTTGAAAAAATCTCTAATATTTGAGCCCAAAATTTCAAATTTTAATTTTTTGAAAAAAGAGGCCACCCGTATGTACGTTTATTTGAGAGGAGGAGGATTATATTTTTGAAAGGGTGAAACATTATGAATATGTTAATTATATAATAATATGTATTATTATAAAAAAGAAAAAATAAAGCACGTTAAGGGTGGCTTCCGACCAAATTGTCACTTTTTGGTCCAAGTTGGAAAAATGCAAATTCGCAAGGTCTGAAGGTCCCGAAAACCAAAAAAATGCACAAAGTCTATAATTGATTTATTTTGTGTATAGATTCGTATACCACCTCTTATTCATTCTCATTCTGGCTAGTTTTAGAATTAAAGTTCCGAATTAAACTAATGCAAAGAAACATTCAATCGCAATTCGTCATGCTTGATTTTACAGATGCACAAAGTCCTGTTGATCTTCATCTTTACTGCATATTTTCAGATTTTTCAAAAAATATTTAAAAAGATATTCTGAGTCCAATTTCCTTTCAGAATATGATACTTAAAGAGACTTACTTTTAAAAGGCTTTGTAATTTATACTACACGATAAATTTTATAAATTTTTACAAAAATTTTTATCGAATTCCACACTTATTGAATAATTATTGTACGATACATTGTCTTTGCTGGTAGACACACAAAAATACTCGTTCTTCTTTTCTTGTGAGCTTATATACAAAATCTGCTCTTACGAAATCTGAATTGAGATCGTTGAAATAATACCATATTGAATTTGTTTTTTTCATGTATATGGTAAAATGATCTTCCGGATTTGAAATAACGGCGACCAAATCATAATAAAATTCCGGATGTTCGTCAAAACGTAAAGGTAAATAAAATTGATTAGTATTAACTACGTTTGCGAATAAAATTGGAGGAAAATTATCGATTTGGGTTTCAACTTTACCATCACATACTTCAATTTCGATTTGAGCGGGATTTATATAGAATAAACCTTTTAGCATACTATTTATATCTATATTATTGACTGGAAATTGACTTAATTTATCAACAAATAGTGAAAGAGCTTCAATTGGATTTTCCAAAGGTACAAAACCTTCATCCTCTTTTGGTTGGTAATGAGTATCTGAAATAAGGGTGTCTAAGATATGTACAGCTGATGAAATTTGATCGGTTGGACGATGAATGCAATTTGCGAATATTTGAGCCAGTTGTAAATTTTGGTTTGGATGATCTGGAGTTGAATAGTTTTCTTGTATCATTGATAATATGTTTGTGTACTCAATCTTTAAGAATTCATTAAATGTGAATAATTGTATAATAACATTTAAAAAGCAATTTCTGCATAAATTATCGAGTCCAGGATTAAGGATGGGCACTCATAGGCTCCTGACAGCATAAAAATGTTATTATCTCACAATATAAAAGGAATCATAGGAATCTACAACTATATCTATATTGTTGGAAGACTTCTTAATGTATCATGCATATAAGTTATATCAATAACTCCATTATGTTATATGATTGTAATCATATTTTCGTTTCATGTTCAAAAACATTAAAATCATACTAACTATATGAGTATTATATTTAGGAAGCTGATATATAGATATGATAAAATGCTAGGTTTTGTGATTAAGAATATATACTTATCTTTTAGAAAATAATACTTTTATAAAAAATTATATCTTATATAATCTAAAAATTTTGGACAATAGTTAGTATACCTAAGTCGTGTACTGAGGCACTGCGTTCCTCCGTACGCAATACTTGTGAATTTGACACTTTACAAAACCGTTAACGTATATTTTACAACACAAACGACAACACCAACTTAACCTTAAATATTTATAAAGCCACTAACGACTTCACTAACGAATTCACTAATGTTTTCACTAACGACTTCACTACTGTAAAAAATAAACGTTCTCACTTACAAAAGTATTGCAACTCTTCCCATTGCTGTGCTTCACACAATAGTTCATATTCTTCAGTATCGCTGCTGTCGCTCCAATCGTCAGAGTCAAAGTCACTGTCAAAATAAATGTTAGTAAGTTTTGACAAAGCTAATGAAACACGCTTACCGTTTGTATCGTATGCTTGTATAAACTTTCCATTCTTCATTCCTTCATAAACGCTCAAACTAACTTTACTCTTTCTCCCTCGTATCTGATAGAATGTATTTTCACGAGGAACGAAGAACAAATTCTTGAACTCATGACCGTTGTAGTTTGTTATCTCAATAGTTTTCGTCATTTATATAAAAATAAACTTAAAAATAAACTTAAAAATTAATGATATCACCACCCTCACACGTATGAAAACATAGCACAAAAATAGATTTAGGTGAAGTGGTGAGATCTCACCTCTTTTTTCACCTCTTTTTTCACCCTGTTGAATTCATTGCTTTATAACTCTCTTCCTTGGTTTCTTTTTAGTTGCTTTCTTCACGTCTGTCTCCAACTTGACTGTCTTTCTTCTTCGGCCGTAATGATACCAGTTACTTCCACCAGTCAATGGGTCAAATGGTCTTTCGTAAGGGTTTCCATACATTCCATAGGGACCATACGGAAGAACTACTGGTGGAGAAGAAACATTTTCTTTAGTTCCATCGACTCTATTTAAATGCATTGTTTCACCTTTCATCTGGTCATTAAAGTCTTTTGCGTGTTTTGCAAACTCATCGTCCTTTCCTAAAGCATTTTCTGACTCAGTCGCAACCAAATTGGATGCTTTATTTATGAGCCCTATTTTATTTAATCTTAACTTCTTTGCAACCCAGCCTCCAATCTTCCTTTATTTGCATCTAATGTCTTTGAAACTCTTCCTCCACTCATTTTATTTACTGCATCATAAGCTCCAAGTGCTTTTGCTCCAAATGCTAATGCTTTTGTTCCCATTGCGCCTAAAGCTGCCCAAGCTACCATTTACACCATATTAAAATCATCTCTCTTCAATATTATCTCATAAAAGTTCTCGTTACTGGAGAAAGTCAATGAAACATAAACATTCTCACGGCTTCGCCCTCACCGCTTTGCGGTCTATCTAACTTCTTTCTTATATCATCTATTCGCTTCAAAATGTCTGAACAATTGCTAACATCTTCTACAACAGTTATTTCATCATGAATGACCTTCAAGAACAAGCTCATTTAATATGCAATTAAAATCATCTCAATAATGAGTCCATCCTTTCCATCTTTAGGTAGCACAACATCTTTCATTGAAGAAGGTTCGACAAGTCTTATGTTAAACTTACTGACAAAGTTTGTTATACTATAATGCTTCGGCGGCGAATACATGTAGTTTGAAAGACATAATATAGATTCTTCAGCAAATTCACTTATACTGGATTTTATAACAATGTTCTCACGAGACCAAATACCACCAATTGACAATCTTGTAAGCAATCCTGCTGAACCTTCTACTGTAAACGTCGATGGTAACATTCCACGAAGGTCATCTATTGACATCGTTGAGTCACTGTATTTAAATATTTTCTTAAAGCAATCGTCATTATCTAACCATGCAATAGCTTTGAAGTTTTCATTCGAATATACATCTGCTTCATTAAATGTAAAACCTGACTTCTTTGCAGAGATGACTTTAAAATCTATTGAGTTTGTTTCAAAATTATATGCTATGGTAACTTCTGAAGGTAATGGGTGTCCTTCTGCAGTCAGTTGTTCTCTCACTACCGTTTGAAGCTTTGTGTTAAAAACTTTCATGTCATCTCCTGTATCTAAGTTCACATACACAGCAACAGGGAAACTATCTTGCTTCTTTGTTTCATCATTATACTCAAAACATTAAAGTTCTTCAATAATATTGTTCTTCCTGCTGGAATACTTCGAACCTGTCTGATTTCAATAGCTTTCTCACCTCCTACATACTCTACCCAGTGTCTTGGATATTCATAAGTATACTGACTTTCTTGAATTTTGGTTGGTTTCATCATAACGTGTTCATAGTATATCTTTATACTCTTGTCAGTTAGACTCGGTGCTATGTTCTGAATATTTCTGACTTGCATTTTTAATGGAGATAAAATGAAGCATTTAATACATGACGTAGATGAAGACATGAATGAAACTACAGACAAACTTAACTCTTCTCTCATTCTTCCTTTCAGTAAGACTATGAGTTCTGTTCAAATGGTGTGTATTTCTATTGTGGAAAGATGGGTTCAGGTAAGACATTTAACCTCATTCGTCATATACTCATAACAGAGCGTTTAGGAAACGACTCTTACTATGACCAAATCATTATATCAGCAACTTCAGACTCTATGGACTCAACAGCGAAAACATTTATGTCAAAGTTCAAGCCTCTGTCGTTAAAGTTCCAGACAGTGAACTCATTGAATTTCTTCAACGTTACATTCGACGTAAGAGGAAATATTATGCCATCGTTGAATTTATACAGTCAGGAATGCAAAAGACTTCTGAGAGATGGAAAGAATTATTGACAAACACCACTTACGTCAGTACTCAGGAGTTTACGATATGAAACGACTTACAAACTACATTCTATCAAAACTTTCAAAATACCCCTTCAAAAAGTATCCTTCAAACACTCTGCTCGTTTGTGACGACTTCGCCGGAAAAGGTTTAGTGTCAAAGCCAGACTCACCATTAGCTAACATCATAACTAAAGTCAGACATTACCATTAACTGTAGCAATACTTATGCAAACATGGAGTTTTTGCTTTAAACATAAAACGTCTCATAACTGACTTCGTTATCTTTCAAGGTTTCTCACGCTATGATATTGAACTCATTTGGAAACAGTCAGGTATAACATTACCTTTTGAAGAAATTTGGGAAGCATATAAGTCTCTCATCTCTCCTCGTTCATACCTTGAGATTCATATCATGACTAATACCATTAAAGTCAAAAATATTCCATGGGAACGACCAACATTGTTTTAAAGTTTAACCTTCAATTGACTGATGGTAAACAAATTCCATGCATCTCTGTCGCCATTTCTGTTAATATTTTTGCTGTCATTCATATCATCCACTTCCCCATCCGTTAGCTTTTGAGGATATGCGTTAGAATAGCTGTTCTTAAATGAAGGCTTTTCACCTTTGAGAGCATAAACTCTATAACTTTCTGCATACTTTATGTTTGAACCTCCTGAGCCATCATTGACATAAATTTTTATAGGCTTCCACCCTTTGTTCATATTCCTGCTTCTTCCCTTTGCTCTTTTGTTCAGTAGTTCTACATCTTTATACACAGCTCCTGTCTCAGTGAATTCAACAATATTTTCATTCGTTAGCTTTACATTCAAACCCTTGTCGAGTATATTGTTCATTTCATACATATAAAAGGTTTTTATTCTATATGAAATGAGAAGCAAATCCATCTTAGCTGGTGCCGTTAATGTTCCAATTGAACCAACATCAAATGTTGACTCACGAACGACAAACAATATTGTCATAAAGAACTATAGTTCAGAGTGTTTGAAAGAAAAAGAACCAGAACTTAAGTCGTGAATTTAAACACAGCTTCAAACGCTAACGCTACATCAGATGTTAAGTTAGAGTATCCACCACTGGACCAAATTCTTTCAAGAGAAGCCAACGACAACCCTTACACAAATGTTCAAACAAATCCTTCAGATAACGTAGACCATTACCTTCTTCAGTTATACCAAACAATTTTACTCAAAGACGATAAGAAGCTTTTGACAAATCTTATAAGTAAGAACCAAATAATTCTAACAAAGGAGGACCTTGAAAATGTTATATCACGAATAACAGGAAACAATGTGTCATTGACTATCTCGACCCTGAAATCGAATGCTGTGGTCAAACGCCAATTCATGAAAATAGGTAACATCCGCATCATTGAAACACCAGGAACTACAGGAGTTGAGTTTAAGTATAAATATTCGAACGAGTATACAAAACTATCTACTTACTATAAGCTTTGTTTGAAATATGTTTTAGTAAATTAAAGCAATTTGTAATATCTATCCAAAACTTCTTCAACAGTATCGAACTCATCTTCATAATGCAAACCTAATCTTATTGACTTGGTGCAGTTTTCACTAACACAATATTTTTCTGTTCTCTTGACTGACATAACTAACTCATTTGTTTCATCAAACAGCAACAACCAAAGTTCATGACCTAATACATAACATTCATACTTTATATTTTTAGCTCTGAGTTCTCTTGTAAGCTGTTGCATTTAATATTTTCTAAAAAGTCAACTTCAACAGTCATTCGCACTGGTGCCTTCAGTTCTACAGGCTCTCCTTGAAAGTCAACAAGTCTGAATTGCATGTCTTTCAAATTATGAGGACTAATGCGAACCCATTTACCTAAATGAGTTGCTATGACAGGAACGTTTGGAATGAACATTGAATTGACTGCATAACAGAAGGATTTATATTCTACTGAACCTTTACTATTAACTCCTGAAATACCTGTGACATTAGCTATTTTTGACTCAATGTACAAACAATTACCATAACATACGTATGGAACAGATTTCATCTCAATCGTTTTGTCAACACTTTTCAAAGGAAATGTCATATGGTATGCTCCCAAAAGAAGTTGTACTCTATGACTCATTCTTGGTATCTTAAACTCCTTCGCATAACTGAACTTCAAAACTCCTGCAATAAGTTTAACATTCATTAAGTTTTCTCGTTATCCTTGTTTATTGTAGTATTTATGAGAGCATTTAACACTCCAGCTAATGTTTCCATCTTATATTCTACATTATTGTGAAATCTTATTTCGTGCTTCTTTCCATCTATTTCAAGCTCCATGAAATCTGTTTCATCTGTTATAACGAATGAAGCAATAGTATTAAAGTCAACCATTCTGAATGCAAGTGCTCATTCTGTAGACCTAAGTTTGTTTGTAGCTTTACTGTCCCGTATTCGTTTGGGTCTGTACTTTGCAAATAGAACAACATTTTATTCTCATTAAAATATGAGTATAGCTGCATATGCGTATGAAGCTGACAGAGCTAAACGTTTATATTTTGGTCAATACTCTCTCACACTTACTGACAAATATATTGTTATCAGTGATGGAAATACCGAGAAATACATAACATGGAAGGACTATGAAAAGTTTGACCCTATTTTAACTCCATGTACTATGCCATTCATTGTAAATGGTGAAGTTGTCATGAAGAACGACACAACAGTATATAAGTCTGTTATGAAGCGTTAGAATATATGTTGAATTATAATCCCGAAAGATTTGACCCAAGCACTACACCATGTGCAATGCCTTTTATTAAGGACGGTGAAATCGTAAGAGTTCCGGATTCAACGGTTTACACAGCTGTTCAAAACAGTTTACAAAACATTTTAGCGAATATCTTTAATTCAGAAACTACAGAAATAAAATTACCATATATAACAGATGCTAAAGAAATTAAATCAAAAACGACAACATTATTTACGTCACTTAATGATTTAATGACTTATATCATTAATATTCCTGCACCAACTACAGCATTTGATCCAAACTCGACGGTTTGCAGTGTACCTTTCATAAATGACAGTTCATTAATTACTTTAAGGGATTCGACAGTAAATGAATCATTAAAGGCGTCATTAATGAAAATCATTGATTTTAATTCATTCACGAATACATATAATTCATTCATTAATGTTTCATATGCTTCTAAAGAAGGTGAGCCAAAAACTATCGATAAAGCGGTGTATGAAATAAAAGCATCAACGACGAAATTGAATTCGTTAACTTTTGACGGTGATAGTTTCGTTAATGACATAACATCGGGGAAAACAATTTTAACGAAAGAATATTAAAATCTCATGTTAGTGAGTTCGTTGAAATTGAAAAAGAAGGTGGAATTAAGTTCGATCCACTGAATTTCATTTTCAGCTTAGCGAATGCGGGTGTTAGTTTCGCTGAATGGACAACTATACAGAGTGAAATAAATGCAATATGGACGTTTTTGGGGTCAAAAGCGGGAATGGGTGAGCTTGTAAATGCTGCAAGAACATTAGGTGAAACAGGAAATTTTGTAGATGGTTTTAAAAGACTTGTTTCAAATGTTTTAACAAACACAAAGAAATTATTTAGATATACCATACATAACGGTCAGATTTTCGAACAGGTAGCAACAAACCATCCGGTTATGGCTGCGTTGATGATGGTTAGAGATATAAAACCACGTAACGACGGGAACGAAGAACATGAACAACAGGATACTGGTCGGGTTATTCGAGACATTAAAAACGTGTATCCTGAAGTTATTGATTTATTTAGAGGAGTTAATGATTCAATTTCAAAACATTCTATAACCCTCGATGAAGAGAATAAATTAACAGATTATATATTCGTCATTATTGCAGAATTAATGAAGAGAATAATGAAAAAGGAATTGGTGATATCATTAATGTCAGCGATGTAATGATGAAAAGAAATTTTGACTCATTATTTACAAAACCGAAAACAGAATATAGTCTTTATGACGTAATTACCGAATTAATGAAAAAGATTAATGATAATAAGAGTTCTGGCGGAAGAGTTGAATTAGAAGTGAATGATGTTAATGAGAAATTAGCCGAAAAGCAGACAAAAATGAGCTTTTAGCTCTGAGTGATAAAGTCAAGAACCACGTTCATTATATAACTTCAGACGAACAGATTATAACGAACTACCATGGATATTTAACACGAAGTGATGAAGCGAAGACAAAAAATGTTAATGAAAGAAGATATAAATACATTCGTGCTAAAGGTTATGACATAAGCTGTACTGTACAGTATGATGTAGCTAAAGCACCAGAAGCATTTGGTTATAACGATGAAATTTATGCCTCTACTTTCAATGTTAACGGTGTATTAGTTGAACCAAGATTTACTTTGAGAGTTAAGTCAAAAATAACGTTTGAAGATGCTATTAAAAGTAAAGCTGACAAAGTTGAACTCGAAGCAATGAACAAAGTTTTGAAATCTCATAAACACAACATCTCCGATATAAATGAACTTCAAGCTACATTAGACAGTAAAGCCGACAAGAACCATACACATAAATCCTTCACTACTGTTAGAGCAGACGACATAATATTGAACTATACCCTTGGTTCAAATGCACCATTAGAGAATCCAAGTACAAGCGTAAAAGATACACTAAACAATTTAGATAACAGTTGCAGGAATATCGAAGATCATGCCAGAAACTTTGAAGCATACGAACTACCAGCAATGTTAGATAAGAAAGCCGACAAAACTTATGTAGATGAAAATTATGCAAAGAAGTCGGAAGTAAATGCTGCGCTTAATGGAAAAGCCGATAAAGAGCACGTGCATGAAGAATTTCAAACAATCAAGATTAAAGAAATTAAGGCATGCATCGAAATAGTAACAAAAACAGGAAGAGACGGTGCAACTGTACAAGAACAAAGAATTTATCCTCCTACTTTTCCTAATGGTTTAATAACAAACAATATAAATATTGTAGAAGGCAATAAAACTATAAACGTTAAACATGAACTTCTAACAATGAAGGTCCAGATTCTTGAAACCATATATCCTATAGGCTCTATTTATACGTCAATGAACTCAACAAATCCAGCAAGTGTTTTAGGTTTTGGTACGTGGGAACAGATTGTAGATAAATTCCTCTATTGTGCGAACTCTTCAAAGCAAACAGGTGGTTCGAAGAAAATTAAAGAAGCAAACCTTCCACCGCACACTCATACAGGAACTACAAACTTTTCTGGTGACCATAGTCACTCATTAAGAGACCATCCATTATACAACTCAGAATATTATGCTGGCAATGACGTTTTATCTCCAGATTATAACCATTCGGCAAAAAAGACTTTTCGACCAACTGAACCAGGAGGAAATCATTCACACACTTTCACAACAAATCCAACAGGTTCGGGTGCAGATTATATGCCACCATTTGTGACTGTATTCGCATGGTACCGAGTTCAATGAACTCGCTTGAGCCTTGACTCAAAGGGTCTAGGCTTACCGCGTTCAATGAAATCTTTAACTTTACATAAATGAGCTTGAAAGAAGTATTCGAACAACATCCATGGAGGTCATTTAAGAAATTCAATGAAGCTGCAAAGAGTTGGGGATTTACTAACAGAGCTGAAGTTAAAAAGTTCTTTGACAAAAATGTTGTACATCAAACAAAAATAAACCCTTACGACTACTTTTTACCAATTTACTCCAACACTCCTGACGCATACCAATTTGACACTCTCATTCAAAGCAGAAAAGGAGGACATAAACCATTCCTCATCTTCATAAATGTTAACACTCGCAAAGCTTTTGCGTATATAATGAGAAATAAAGGAACTCGTGAAGTGTTAAGAGTTTTACAAAAGTTTGTAGCAGAACATAACCCAAGTACTTTAACATCAGACCAAGACAGTGCATACCTCAGCAACGAAATCACAGAATTTCTCATTAAGCATAAATAACTCACTACACTACTGAAGACCATAACCATAACATACTCGGCATCATTAATCGCTTCATAAGAACGCTCAGAGATTTAAATCAAGAGCGAGACTTTACCGAAGAAACAATGAAACATTTTCTCGAAGTATATAATTCCTCAACAAATTCTACAACAGGACATACACCAAATTCAATGACACAACAACAAGAAGAAAAGTATATACAAAAGAAACGAAGCCAAACACAAAATATCAGAAATTCAACACAATTTACCCTCATTCCTGGTACAAAAGTTCGTGTAGTTCTTGACGACAAACCGTTGACAAAGAAACGTTTAATGTTAAGTCGAAATTATTATATCGTAGACTCTACGCAAGGTAATGGATATCTTATAAAAGCTGCTGACGACTCCATAGCATTTTACCCTCGTCATAAATTAGTCGAAAGTAGTAATGGCAAACTTGCTGAAACCATTGACGAAGCAAAGCGAGGAGTGGTTATTGAAATACTTGACTATAACATAAACGATGACATTTATAAAGTAAGATATGAAGGAGGCGTTGAAGATGTTATACCATCTAAGAACTTGAGAGAGTCAAAGCCAACACATCTGGGACCATTAGAGCGGGAGTACTGGAAAGATAAAAATATGCCAGAAAGAATAAGAAAATTCTTCTAAACTTTTTCATTAGATGTAAATCAGACAAAGCATTTACCAGAAAGAATAAGAAAATTCTTCTAAACTTTTTCATTAGATGTAAATCAGACAAAAATATATTTTAGGTGAAGAGGTGAGATTTCACCTGTTTTTTCACCTGTTTTCTCACCTGTTTTTTCACCTGTTTTTTCACCCTCACCGCTTAGCGGCTCAGATTGTATATCTTTTTTGGCAGATAAGAGATAAAGATAAAAGATGTAAAATATGGAATGGACAAATAAAACCAACAACTTTTGAGTTAAAGAAAACCATTGACGCCTTAGTTGTTCTAGCAGGTCAAATTTCAATGTATAACGCAAAAATGAATCCGCAATGTTCAAAATGTAAAGCAGCAATAAGGAAATATAACTACTCCGTCAAAGAGATAGAACGTATGAGAAACGACTATGCTGACTTAAAGAAAGAAGTAGAGAAACCAGCAGAAGATAAAATGGACATGTTAGCATTTCTGAACAAAAACTATCCAACAGCTGACGATTTCCTATTATCTGATGTCAAGAAGAAGTATAAAGAAACTTTCGGCATTGTTAAAACTTTTGACATACTGACAGAAGAAATAGAAGCTACGAAATTGTTTAGAATTTCAAATATACATCGTCCAATTCATGTAAAACGCTTATAAAATAACTGGGTGAAAAATTAGGTGAAAAAACAGGTGAAATCTCACCTCTTCACCTAAAATATATTTTTATTGAATTCAGCAACAAAATTCTGAGTAAAATAATTTTTAGGGCATGTGTCAAACCGTTGAGTTTTCACAAAATTTAAAAAATAACGTTTACCATGTAAAACGCTTATAAAATAACTGGGGTGAAAAATTAGGTGAGAAAACAGGTGAAATCTCACCTCTTCACCTAAAATATATTTTTATTGAATTCAGCAACAAAATTCTGAGTAAAATAATTTTTAGGGCATGTGTCAAACCGTTGAGTTTTCACAAAATTTAAAAAATAACGTTTACCATGTAAAACGCTTATAAAATAACTGGGGTGAAAAATTAGGTGAGAAAACAGGTGAAATCTCACCTCTTCACCTAAAATATATTTTTATTGAATTCAGCAACAAAAATCATGAATTTTCCTTAAGATAAAAAAATAACGCTAATTTTTTTCTAAGAAAAATTTTTATCTTGTATGTAAGAACAGTAATGTTAAAGGTTGAGTTTGAAACAGTTAGAAAGATAGACAATGACACCAAATTGGTTAGAATAGGTGATTTAAACGTAAGATACTCAAAGAAATACAACAAATATTCTTTGTCAGACATTATATTTCCATTTGGAAAGAGACCGAAGGACTGGGTTAGAAATGCTTCAACTCAGAAATTTTTGACAAGAAATCCTGAGCTTATGATATCAGTAGCATTTCATGGAACAAGAGCATATCTTATAGACAAAAGTCTTATACCAATAGTTTTGTTATGGTTAGACCTAGTTGTTGGATATAACTTCATAACATATGGTTCATTCGATACGGAACGTTGCAGTGAAGGCTTACTTTACATCGTTCAGAAACCGAAGGACTTCAATACAAAGAGATATAAGATAGGAAGAACATATAATATAACTCAAAGATATGACAGTACAGTCAATAGAGTCAAGGTTGTGTTCGTTAATGATATGAGAGCTGCAGAAACAGAACTACTTGAAAAGTTTGAGAAAATGTATGGTGCTCCCATGAAAGGTAAAGAAACGTTTGAAGTAGATGAGATAGATAAAGCTATAAAATTATTTGACGAAGTTGCTGAAAAATACATGTAAAGCGTTTATTTTTGGTCTTTTGTGAAAGTCAGAAAATAAAGTTAGTTTTTTATAAAATATTTTTTTTATCCGGAATATAAAGACAGATATGTCAACAACAGAGAACACAACAACTGCTATCGTTCATGAAGCCATTAATGAAGAATATGAATACATACAGTATACCAAACAATTGAGACTCATTCGTTCGGTCAAAGACGATATGTACCAGATGCAAAGTATTTTGACGGCTTGTTTTGCTCCAGACACTAAGCTTCCTAAAGACTGGTTTAGGAACCAAAGCACCATTGAACTCTTAAGCGAAGCACAGCGAGACATACTTTTTTCTGAAAACAGTGAAGAACAGCGAGTAGGTAAAAAATCCCAGTCGCCAAAACTCTATGAAAACCGTGAAAAATTGCCAAACGGTTTGAGAGGATATTATGTTCATAGACTTCTCGTAAATAATGTGGCACAATGGGCTTCAGCTCGCTATTCATGGTATGTTTGTAAACTTCTTGACGAACTTCACAGACAAGAACGTGAAGATATGGAAAAGAAACTTCATGCAAAAGATGAAGTCATTGAATCCAAAGACAAAAGCATACAGAAAAGAATACCACGTTCAGTACCAAAAGGAAAGGAAAAGAGTTATAAGTATATGATATATACTGAAGAGTTGGAGAAAGAAGAAGACAGTGACATGGTTATGTTGCATTTAGTCAGAAGAAACAACAAAAGCTTTTACGACCTTGCTAAGATTTACAAATCTGACAGAAATTGGTTCTATCGTGAAAACTTACCGATTTCAATGACACCGAATGAAGATGTTAAACAGATAGTTCAAGACACACTTCCTCAAACACACTATGACATCAAAGGTTGCACAATACTTACATTCAAAGAAGACTTAACATTACTGAAAGAAAAGATAACAGAATATTTCGACAACTTCAAAGAGGAAGAATGAAAACTTACCGATTTCAATGAAAAACATTAACTTTTTGACGAAGTGAAGATTTGCACTTTGTCAAAATTTAATGAAAACTTACCGATTTCAATGAAAAACATTAACTTTTTGACGAAGTGAAGATTTGCACTTTGTCAAAATTTAATGAAAACTTACCGATTTCAATGAAAAACATTAACGTAAACATTAACGATAAAATTTATTTCCTGGACTGTTGTCAAAATGTCATGTTGTCATCATTTTTAAAAGAAGTTAATTAACCTGGTAGCACATGGTGACGTGGTGACACTTTCAGTTATTCAAAAATATATTTTTGCTTAAATAACTTCAGGGTCTATTTCTTCAACCATTTCACTTCCTTCGTCAATGTCAATAGAAGCTTCTTCAACCTTTGGTAAGAACTTTTGTATGACATCTTTGTTCGTTATTGTCTTCAGAGATGAAGGATAATATTTCACAACTGTTTCACCTTTCTTATATTCTTTCTGTTCGGAAAGATTCATAGCAATACTGAAGAAGTCAATGTTAGAGTTCTTTATGACAGTATAATGAGTATCTTTGACATTCACGAAGAAACTCTTTTGTTTCAAAACTACTGCTAACTCTTGTGAAGTATAACGTTTGCGGTCAATGACGATAGCTAATGGTCTGACATACTGACCGAACTTAGATTCTTTCACAAACTTCTTGTTAAAGATAACATTAACATTTGAAGCATTATTGAACTCATTCTTGATGGCATTAGCGAGAGCATTGTATGAAAAGAACTTGCAATCTTGCATGTGTTTCATTATAATAAAAAGTTCGAAATATTTTAAAACTAGCCTTAAAAAATCTAAGCTAATTTTTTTCTAAGAAATTTTTTTATTTCCTACTAAAGATGTATCGGAAGTTGTCTAAGTTAGAACACTCGGAAATAAAACAACTTCCTACAGAAGCTAACATAGATGTTGCAAAACATTACGCGACAAACAAAAAAGCACTCGCTGACATCCTCAATGACTACAATGGTGAAATAACTTATGATAGAATTCATGA